CTGACAGAAGTCGAACGGAGCAACAATGGAAAATAATAACATCGCGAACTATGTCAATATTTTCCCGTCAGTGTGCGATTCAAAAGCTAAAGATCCATTTAACTGCGTATTATTCAAATGCTACAAGTTTATGAAAGGGCGTACGTAAATATGTCAAATGCTTCAGAGTTGAAACAAGCTGTTATCGAGTAGTACTTCGACTGAAATTCATCGCGACTGTGGAATTACTGTACGATCAAGCGGAAAGTGATTTTGTCCAATGTCAAACAAAAATGCGGGCCTTTGCCTCCAGAATCTACAGTGAATGTAAACAAATTGATCTTAATTGAAACAAAATTGTTCATCAAAATGCTATATGGAGTCTGGTCTTTTCTACAACCGGACCATGAAACAAACAAATCTCCGCGCCGGATGCAAGTCAGCCCTCCAGCCAGAAACGATGACAGGTCGCCGATCTGAAACATTTGAAGACCTCTTATATCTTTTCTCTTCCGAGGATAAGTACAAAGGATTTTCCTTATATTAAAGGGAAGATAGACCGATCGATTGGAATCAACTACAGCTCTGTCAATTTTAAATGGACCCAAGTCTTTCTTTGTTACCAGTCGTTTGATCGCAGAGGTCAATGAATTTTTATAAAATACAGGTCATACAAGATAAGTCTAAACCAACGCGTGTCGCTATGATATGGCTGAGAGGGGCTGTGTCACGGCAAGTCCAGTTCATTTTGTTTAATTTTGCCAGTTACTCGCCCTCAATGGCTATGGAACTGAAAGTAAGCAACGAAATTACATGTAAATGACAAAATCAGAGATCCGTGACAAAGTTGCAAGCAGCAGGGATCAACTTTGAAAAACTGTTAGGCTGAACAGTTTACAAAAACCCTAACCTCAATCCGTTTCAATCTTCTTCAGTTTTGCCCATCCGTGACATCTGTTGTTTCTGTTATGTTATTTTAACCTTCCTTTTAAGTTGTAAGCAGTTATTTTTAGGTTTCTCTTAATTTAACGGGCATTTTGTAATTTCCTAATTTGGCTGAATTTCGCCGTGACACAGCTCCTTTAAGGTGAATAGAACTAGGCTGTGTACGGCGGTCCACTTCGCAAGAAATGAAATAAAAGATCAGAAGAGTCGCGAAAACGGACTTTTCCAGTACAAACTTTATGCATGTACGATAGCTTGTTTGTCATTTATATCGCTCTATACAAGTCTCTATAAACAGAAGTTTTACAAATGTTACCGCTCGCTGTCCCCTTCATAGAAATCGGAGGAAAGCAAAAAATTACCGTAGCCAGTATCTGTGACAAAAAAAAATCGTGTTAAACGTTTCGTTAATCGTCAAGAGATATAAAAGGCCGCCCAAGATCGCGCGCTGTGAGGTTACGCATAATTTTAGCTTTTCGCATAGTGCTAATTTATTACACCCAGAATTTTAGGGTGTACGAGGGGACACGTGACCAGCCGATGCCAGGGCCTTTTCCCGCCCCACCCAATTTTTAAGGGAAAGGCCCAGGGGACGAGTTTGATGCACATCCCCAACACATTGAGTCTCACCTCGGCAAGAAACAACCGCAAGCGAAAATTCCAATAGCGTATGGCTCCAAACTTGGACACTTAACGAGAACATAGGTTCTAAGTGGGTTCAAACATGCCATGTTTGGCTGCCAAATATTTCAATTTTGAGAGGGCGTTAGACAAATGTTCAAGAGCAATGTAGGCGCACGGCTCACTATAAAGAATTGGAGTCAGCCCGCACCGTTTGGAAGGTTGTCTCCTGTGATTGGCTAATCGTATTTTAATTCTTTTTAACATAATATTTTCCTTTATTTTGAGTGAGTTGATATGGAAAGATTTCTTCCCTTGCTTGGAATCGGAACTGAAATTGTCATAATGACAATTTCAGTAGCGATTCCCAGGATTGTACTGTATGCGAAAAAGTGCAGGTAGAGTGTTCCTCACGTTGAGGAGAGAAAAAGATACTGTCAAATTAAGAGTTTCTTTCTTTTCTTAGTGCTCGAGTGTCGAACCAAAAGAGAGCACATACTTAAGGATCATAATTGTGTGACGTGGAATGACAAGGCACCTATTTAAAGCTTTTGGATTTAACTTCCAAACCACTGTGACTACAGTATAATCTATTTTGGTCTGGGTGGTCGATGGTGGTGGTGGTGGTGGTGGTCGGAGTGGTCGTGGTGGTTTTCACATTGGTCATGGTCGTCACAGTGGTCGTGGTCGTCACAGTGGTCGTGGTGCAGTCGTCACAGTGGTCGTGGTGCGGTCGTCGCGGTGGTCGTGGTGGTCGTCACAGTGGTCGTGGTGCGGTCGTCACAGTGGTCGTGGTCGTCACAGTGGTCGTGGTGCGGTCGTCACAGTGGTGGTGGTCGTCACAGTGGTCGTGGTGCGGTCGTCACAGTGGTGGTGGTCGTCACAGTGGTCGTGGTGCGGTCGTCGCGGTGGTTGTGGTGGTCGCAGTGGTCACGGTGGTCATGGTGGTCAATAGGGAGCTTAAGCAGCGACGTTTTTGAGCGACGCACGTCAACCGGAAGTGAGCCTTTTTCTCCTTTAGTAAGCCTTTACGCTACCGTGTTTGTATTGCCAAGTGTCTTAATTCTTAAAGAGACGATCTGCCCAAAAATTTGTTCAAAATCACGACTCAAATGTGCAAAAAGTCCATTTCCGGTTGACGTGCGACGCTCAAAAACGTCGCTGCTTAAGCTCCGTGATCGAGGCTATTTCTATTGTGCATAGCTACCTATCATCTTGGTATCCTAGTGCATTTGGACACCTTCAGTTCTCAACTAATCAAGCATAAGTTCACCCAATCACCACTATTGTTACTACAAGCAATTATAATCGAATTTGTTAAAAAAAAGAAACAAACGAGGAACGCTTTGTTTTTGGTAATGGTACGTGTGAGAGAGTTCACACGTGCTTTCTTTCATATCCACCATGTCTTGTTTGCCTTTAATTTGTGGTGGAAGTCAGAAGTTCTAACAACGATGCTGCTGTTATTGCTGACCACTTTTTGGATTGCGTCTTCCAGATCAAACTGGTTCGTTGCAAAAATGAATATAGTTTCTTTTAAGTCCAGTTCTCTTCATACGTTTAACAAGGACGTATTTTGTGATTCTTTCAACGTTAGGAACTGCCAGGATTGTTCGTGCTGACCCTGGAACAGAGAACGTAAAGTGGAAGTCGTACAAAAATTTTTCAAGGTCAACGGACGTGATAGCTTTGCAGGGGACTGGAGTTTTTTGTTTGAAAGTCCACAACAAATCAGGTAAAAGTAATGCTCAAATACCGTAGTTACTGTAGTTTCTTTGGAGCTGATACAGTATTAGCCTGCGTGGCAAGCCCTAAAAGGTATTGATTGTACAGCGTCAGACATTGTCTGCCTTTCCTTGTAGAATCTATGAATGGAACCAATTAGGAGTAAGAAGGAGAAGTCAAATACTGATTGTTAACAGCGAGAGAAAAAAAGAAGCAATTAATATTGTGGACACTCCGAAGAAACTGGTATGGTCTTTCACTGTGCTATTTCTCGGGTAAAATCTTTGCATCCAAACAAGGCACAGCGATCTTCTTTTCCCATTACAATCTTATTCTAGGAAAACTTTAAAAAAAATTGCCCTGAAAACTACCAATCGAGGCTGGCTGACATTCTAAAGTCGAGGGTTCTCTACTCTCACTTTGGGCTGTCACATTACAGGGAACCCGGTTAATACGGACACCAAGGGGGTGCCACAGTGTCCGTATGAAGCAGGCTCTCAGAATAAACGCCACGGACATACAGTGTATGTTCACTCTTCAGGAAACCCCACGATCATGTCATTAGTCTGAAATGTCATCCGTCTCTTCGCCCCACCCCCCAATGGGTGGCAAGGCGAGCGAGACTCTCTGGGGTGGGGCGAGGAGACGGATGACATTTCAGGCAAGAGAGAATGAGTTTCTGTTGATTTCAGGCCACCATATCATAGTCTTCGACTGAAAAAACTGCCTTTAATTTTAAGCGAGTGAATGGCAAAGTTTATCAAAATATGTTTTGAAAATACAGGAAAACCAGACGTTTCTTCCTCATTGGTTTAAGCGCAAAAATGTTAAAGCTGCTTTTCAACCATGGAAGATAAATTTTGATAAACTTTGCCATTCACTCAATTATTAACGTTGCATAGTTTCTTCAAAATCTTTTGTAACACTTCTAGTTTTGAGTGTTATTCTTTACACGACAAAGGAATCTGGGACTTTATACTGATCTTTTAGTTTGCAACTCAGCCAAGTGGGCTAAATATGGGACAGAACCTTTGAAAGGTCATTCGCTGTTTCTGTAAGGTTTTCACCGGTTAAGATATTCAGCCATAGGCAGTGCGCAGATAACCAGTGTCCGTAAAGCGGTTCTGGTGGTTTCTTTAGGTTTGACAACGTCTCCAGAATCAGACGGAATTTAGTTTTATAGCTAGTGCTCATACTACCAACTATTACAATGCTGATTAACTGCTCCTTTACTAGCTTGACCTTCCCAAGGGCCTTGAAGAGGGCTGAAGTGTTCCCACACCCAAAGGATGGTGATCACGAGGTTCCTGACAACAATCGCCCAATTTCCTTACTCCCAGTTCTCTCCAAAGTCACTGGGAAGAATGCACTTCGCTATTACAATGACTACCTGACTCGAAACAATAGACTAACTCAGCATCAGAGCGGCAACCGGAAGTTCCACTCTACAGAATCCTTGAGTTTGCTGGTTACAGACGACATCTTCAAGGCCATAGATCAAAAGAAGCTCACAGCAATGGTACTAATTGATCTTAGTAAAGCGTTTGACAGTATATGTTATCACAACCCGATGAACAAACAACACCTCGGTACATCAAGGGAGACACTTCAATGGTTTGAGATCTATCTCACAGATTGCCAACAGTCCACCAGAGTTGGAATTTCATTATCAGACCCACTGACTGTCACCCACGGCGTTCCTCAGGGATCCGTTTTATGTCCCATGCTGTTTAGTCTATATAAGAACGATCTTCCGTCAGTAGTCAAGTTTAGTTGTGTTGAGTCTTACTTTGACGATACGAAGATTTACCTCTCCTTCTCAGCAAAAGATTTAGACACATGTATGACACAAGTCATTGAAGATCTCCGTAACATCGCAAGCTGGTGCTGCACAAATAGTCTTCTCATCAACCCCAGAAAAACTAAATTCATTGTCTTTGGGGTCCGGCAGTTAGTGCCAAAGGTGGCCGACATTCACATATCCTGCTTAAGCCAAGAACTTGTGCCTAAGCCCTATGTAACGGACTTGGGCATACTGTTAGATTCCAACTTATCGTTCAATGAACACACAGCATCAAACATCTCTTTTCTAGGTCGGCGTTGCTTATCATCTTAAACTCCTTAGTATTTAGTAAACTTTTTTATTGCTCCGCCGTCGGGCACTGCTAAACAGAACATAGTAAAATTACAGCTTCTACAGAATTTTGTCGCACGAATTTTGACAAATAAAGAAAATATGATCACGTTTCTCCTGCTCCACGTGAGCTCGAGTGGCTCACTGTCAAAGATCATGTAAATCTAAGGGACGTTACTCTTGTCTTTGAGATACCCAATGAGGCTAGCTCCACCTTATCTCAGTTGTAAACTCACAAAGAGATCGGAGTGGCATTCCTACGACACCAGAAATGGGGAACACTTGAATATCCCCCTGTTACAGCGCAGCGCTCCTTTTTCTTCCGAGCAGTAAAACCGTGGAACAGGCTTGAAATTCACAGCAACCGCAGGTTAAAATCACTTAAGAAAGCCGCAAGGCAGGAAATTTTACTAGTGTAAATAACTATTGATGTCTGTTATTATTATTATTATTATTATTATTATTATTATTATTATTATTATTTCTTGTAATTTAAAGTCTTATCATTATTGTAAATTAAACAAGAATAGCCTGGTTTCCATATGGTCGCTACAGTCACTGCGATCGCTGAGAAAAAAAAATGTTCAGCGATCGCAGCGATCATATGGAAATCACTTTCCAGCAATTGTAGTGATCGCAGCGATAACGATCGCTGAGATACAACTTCTTCTATCTCAGCGAACGTTGTCGCTGCGATCGCTGGAAAGTGGTTTCCATATTTTCGCTGCGGTCGCTGAACTTTTTTCTCTCAGCGATCGAAGCGTTCATATGGAAACCAGGCTTAATAAAGCTATTGTATTGTAGTAGATGCGTGCCTTTGTGAAAGCAAAAGTGATCGTCAGAATTAAAGGATGTTACAGTGAGTAGAATGGCAATAACGCAGTTATCAGTTTCTTTACTCCGAAAATGCATTCTTTCTCGTTATAGACACATTCAGCAATTTTTTGAACTCCCTCGTCAAATTTCTCTTTCATAAGGGTTTTTATTGCTGGTAGCTGAGCAGTGATTCAAGTTTCCTTAGGCCCCGTTGGGCGAACCGTTTTCATAGAAACGAGAAGTTGGCTCTGCTATGTAGGTTCACCCTCCTTCATAGCGGAGCTCCCTGCGCGCGCGAAGAGCGCGAGAGCGTAGCAACATGATGATTTAGTAAACTATCCATCCGAGAAATTTTGGTTATGACGTCAGCGTACGTCCATCCGTACGGACTTTCCGGGTAGTGGAAAGTAGTCCGCATGGACTCTTGGGATAGGGGAAAGTAGAGATTTTTTGGCGGGAAATCGCATGACGCAACGTTGCGCAATTATATCGTGCAACCCGACTGGTTTTGAAAAAGAAATTTCAAAGCAACTTAGCAAAAAGATTTTGTGACAGAGCCTTTATAACTTTTTATTACAACTTACGAAAGCTATTATGTCAACAAACAACAGCAAAGAGATTTTAGCGTGAAGACGACAAGTTTTAAGCAGAGAGCAAAGAGAAGGTGAACGGCAGCCGAGCAAGAGTCAGCACGCGTAGAGCAAGCGAAGACGATCGTCAAAGAGAGCGCGTTAGAAGTAGAAGTAGAAGACAAAATTTTAGCGAAGAAAGTCGGAATGAAGAAAGAGTCAGGGCGAGAAGAAGGAGAGAAAATTAAAGTGAAGAACGCCGGCAAGCAGAACGAGACAGAGCTATAATGAATAGACAAAGGTAACGCAAAAGAGAAATACAAAGGCAAAGAGAACGGGAGCAAAATAATGACATGATGACAGAAGGTGTTGTGTTAATGTCATGCGCTATTAACATTTTGATGTCAAACTGATTTCGGACGCGAGAATTCAGCCAATTATTTAAAAATACAAGCAGGGAAGACAGAGGCTTTTCACTTTTCTCACCATAGTCACGCGTTGGTCACGCTCTACGTCCAATGCTCTGATTGGTATGATTGGTCAAAATTTGACAGGTGAGTTCATACAGAAAATTTAGACAGCATCCTCTGACAACTGAAGCTGACAGAGTTTTTTGTCAACTTGTGGTGTTTTTTACTGTCTTTTTCTACTGGATGCATAAAATGAAATACAGCTGCTATCAACAGTCTTCTGTTGTTCATGGCTGGTTTT